CCGTCTTATTTACACAATGTTAATATTGGAACGTATTTAAATGACGATGTTCCAATTTTATCTCACTATTCCTTATGCAGACGTAATAAACTCATACTCATATACAGAATGGCGAAAAATGACGAGTGCCCAGTCCTTAGTACCTAAATCCGTTTTAAACTATTAAAACAAATAAGCATATTTGCTGAAGTCAAATTATCTATATTGGGGACAGTACTTACAAGTTCTAACAGAATCGCACTTCGATCCATAAACTCATAACAGCGATTCACTTCCTTTGGTCCGAAATTGGTTCCTATCTGACGGAGAACCTTCTAGCGGCCCGGATCTGAACCCTGAGTTTGCATGTATAGGAAGAGATAGAGCAGCAACCAAGAAACCAAATATGAAATTCCTGATGACTTTGTGAAACAAACAAGGCTGAAAATATGGGTAAATTCAGACGACTACCTCCGCCGTATCAATGACTGCATGAGGGAACGAGCTAAGGCCTGTATAAACTGACGACAGTAACCTCGGAAATTCTCTATAAGTGTAAAGTGCACTGGTCCATACTTCCATAGAAGTAATTCCCTTGAAAGCGAATGAGTGAAAAGTTGAGTTGCAGCGTCTTTCAAAGCGTACGTAATTCTTCGCCACCCTTTATAGGGTTTGATTCGAGTTTGTTCATCATGGACCTCATTTTCCTCTCGAAAAGTCAGCATGATTTACATTTGAAATCATCGAGATGTGGTAGACATAGTTGCTACTTGAATTTAAGTGGTGGCAGCCAAGGTTTGGCGAGATATTTTCATTTTGGAACAATTGTAATCATGTCTTTGTCTAATAGAGAAAAAGATGAGGGTTGTCTCAAATCAATATATCTCCACTTGTAAGCCATCCTATCCTGCGATCTTCGGACGCCACGCCTACTCCATTTCAGGGATAAAATGTATATATGTGGAAATATGCATACATTCACGCGATATGTATCGTCGCCAAAAATAAAAATAACAGGCTCATCAGTAAGATGAGGTATCTCACTGATGAATCTCTATGTTCTATGGAACATGAGAATACTGCCCTGGTAAAATCGACACTTTATAATATCCATACTCTATGCCAGATTTCTTCGCGTGACATAAGCCACTAATCCCATTAACATCCCGTCTTCCCCGATTACCATAATCACTTTCGCGCCAGTCCGACATCTTGGCTTAGCGTTTTTCACCTTGGTTTTCTCGCTCACAACATCCCAAGGTGAGCGTCGCGAAAAGCGATTTTCCAAATGATGTTCTAACTAGCATCGTTGCACTTCACTGTGCAAATTGGCGAAGTATGGGTGATGTGCACCATAAATGTTACTTCTCTCTATTATCTTTTTAGCATAAGAAGAAAGCGAAGCTGTCAAAAACCACCGAAGTACATTTGATATCATCATGATCTGTCGGGGCGATCTCACGATAGAGGGAATGAGCACACTGGCAGCGTTTCCACCACTAGTCGTTTCCTTAAAATGATCACCAACCAATCACCGTAGGTACAGCAAGGCAGTCGAAGGCGGGTTTTCCACTCCATCTGACATCACCCCGTCTGGTTGCGACATTATCAGCTATAACTCTTCGGTCCTAAGCTTTGTATCAGATGCCACGAAAAAGCGTATTTGTATGAGTTCTTGCTTGTTGATAAAAATATATCAACTCTCTTCACTTATCACGTCGTTTTCTTTTAGAGGATCCGTTTCATTTCCCGCCTTTTCGAATCTAATTGCCATGTTGAAGTGGGCGGGACCGTGTGCCGAGGGTGGAGGGCACGCTACGTCACAGTCTCTCAGCCTTGTTATGGAGGAACTTCAAGTGCAGACCTATGACGTCACCGTCGCACACTGCATCTTTCAGAAATCCGGAAAAGTGACATCAGCAAAACATCACCAACTTCCTTGCATACAAGCAAGCGATAAACAATGTCTAGTGTCGTTTTACTGCGACCACTGAGTACCCTTGGGAATTATGGATCACGTCATAGGGTCTGAACAGGCTTTTCTTACTACTTTTAAGTGTTATGCATAACCTGCTACTGCTTTCTTCTTTATTCAACCAAGTTTTTTCTCGTATTCCAAAGAGTTCAAAAGGCGCAAAAGATTTGAAAACTCTTTAAAATATTTATCGCTATTTCGATGCTTAACACTTTCGTCAGGCCTAAAATACTCCCTTAGTGTAGTTAGCTACTACACACAGTATGCCAATTAACTCACGTGTGGTCTGCTTCTATTAGTGGGAAAGTCTTTCAGTCGAAAATGGTGACCCACCCAGGTCATATATTAGCCGGGATGCTCCGTGATATTAGTATTGCAAGATAATGTGAAGATCATGCAATAATGAAGTACTGTATCCAAAGCATGATTCTTGAACTATCATCTTTTACCTTCAATACACCTGTTGTCCTTTCGCCTTTTGAACTCTTTGGAATAAACATTTTAGAGCTCCTTCTTGCTTTTGAACAGTTAAAGAATTTTCTGTTATTGATTTTTAGCGGGACCCATTGTGCTATTAAACACTTTGATGTCCTTGAGTATAAGCATGAAAAAGCGCTGGTTTGGGATCCCAGGAGAGAAGTCTGCTATAATGAGTCATGTTGAGGAAGTCAACCGCTTGCGTGTCAACTCCACTTTTTCTTCAACGTCAAATTTAATGCAAATGTGAAAAGGGACATTT